GGCCGAGGTCTGCAGGGGCGCTCCTCCGCCTGCGCCCTGCCCGAAGGGAGGGCCTCTCCCGGGCTGGAGGGCGAGCGGGGGAGCCGGCAGACACCCGCAGGCCGACTGGGGAGGTGGGGGAAAGAGGGCAGCCTGAGGCGAGGAAGGCTCACCAAAAGGTTGCAGGGGCCTGAGGAGCCTCCCCCAGCCCTCATGGACCGACATGGATCAAAGTCTTATTACTGTGCCAGCAAAAGGCACATCTGGGGCATGGCAGCAGCTGCTGTGCCAGATCTCAGGACCAGTCTCTGAAAGAAGCCAAAGCTTCCCAACAAAACAAGCCATTTTTATTTCTTTTTAAAGTGAGAAAAACAAAATTGTCGGAAATGCAGCGCCAGACGTGACTTAAGTGTTTCAGCCAAAACTTTATAAAAACAAACAACAAGCCCACACGATACGACAGCCAGCACGGGAACTTTTAGCTTAAGTCTGGCAACGTGAATAGGAGCTAACCCCAAAGTCTTACAAGTGAAGCACGTTTTAATACTAGAAGTGTCACTGGTTCTGCTTCCAAGTATTCCCTGAGAGCCAGCATTGTGATATATCAGCAACATGGGAGAGGACAAACCATCTTTGAAAACCACTTCCCAGCCAGTGGAAACCAGCACCCAACATGGGAATCTCTTAGAAGCACAGCAATGGGACAGCCTTGATAGCTGGGTATAGAAATCCCTCCTCTGAAAGCCAGAAGGCAGTATCTCAGCGGTTTACACTGAGCCCTGACTGATGGGATGTAACCAGTGCCTCCATCACCCAGCTTGTATCCCAGGTAGGCAGGTTGCTCTGGAACACCAAGGAGCAGCAGAAGAGACAGCTTGGCCAGCAATGAATTTGAGATTATGAACTTCTGGAAGCTGCCCTAGACAACCAGAACATGCTCCTAGATGAGGCTGCTAGTTTAGCAGCTCTTCTGCTATAAAACAGGCCTTGTCAGAAGGCTGTGAGTCAATCTTTGCTGCCAATGAATAATGAAATAAAAATGGAAGCCAGATGATAAAAAAAAACAGTTTGGAAGGAATGTTTGCAGGTATAGGTTACCTCCTATGATTCATACCATAACACATTGTTCAGTCAATAGATTGAGATTTTGATATTTTACTGTATGACCACTAATTCATGATTATTCTGAGGTGGGAACATCCAGATCTGCTTCTGGATTTTAAAAAAGCTAAAAATAAATCAAGTTATTTATTCTCTTGGGTTTTATTTTCCTGAAGAACAGAATATCAAAGCAAAGCACAATCATGCATTTTTATTGGGTATTCCCCAAGCAGCTGTGCCAAAGTCTTCATGGGAAACAGTAATGTTAATTTCCTCAGCACTCTCTTCCACATTAACCTGTCTGTTAATTTAATGAACAGTTTCCCAGCTGTTTGTAATTCCAGTGAGTTCCCTGCACGTGGCTGTATAATTCATCATTGCTGATGTTTCAAAAAAGTCAAGGTGATCCAGGGCTTGTTTTGTCCCTTGCACCCAAGTTTTCATGGATCACACACCTGAGGTCTTCTCGATTCAGAACCTGGCTTTTGTACTTCTCACCCCAGTCCTCAACGATGTACTGATGATAGGGATCATTGGAGTGCTCTCGCCTCTTTGATTTCACAGTACTCACCAAGATCGCCACAATAATGAAGGAGAACATCCCAATCATCACCATCAAATAAAGGATAACATAGTCAAAGTTTTCAGCATCAACCTTGGCTTGCAATTTGTCTGCTGCTGCTGTTATGTTTTTCCTCCAACCGTTCATGTAAGTGAGAAAGGTTTCCTTGAAAATATCTTCCACAGCTCGAGTGAAGTTTCGCATTTCAGCCATCCTTGCAAGGTACAGCAACTAAAGACAACATGATACTTATTTTAATCAAATATCTATATGAAGACAAAATTTATGTTGGTTTCTCTTGTCTGCATTAGGATGATTAATTAATAACACCTGCCACTTGGAAGTGCAGTACCAGTTTTAGATCAGCTGAGGATCCCCATCTCTGAGTGGTTCAACATGTTCAGAGACCCAAGGAGGTCTTACTTCTCCCCTTACTCAGGTCACTTTGGGTCTGTGGGAAGCCAAATACACCTTGGTGAAGACCAGTGAGTGTGGGCCCCTGTGACCCATGTTACAGGGGTCAAGGCACACTGCCTTCCCTGCTGAGGCAAAATACAGAGTGAAGTAGCATTTTGCCCAGGAGAAGACAAAGTACATATCAGGTCCTGTGAAGGCTGGCACAGTGCCACTCCACACAGCTGCCCAGGATCTCTCAGGGAGGGGTATGACCTGCCCCCTTTCCTGTTTGGTCTCAGACTTCACATCTGGTGTAAAGGCTGGTGTACCTGTGCAAGACAAAATGAGTCCGTGGGAGCATAACAGCCAGACAGCTTACTTTAAATGGTAGCCCGATAGAGAGAGGCGGGACAAGGAGGCAGAGCCCCCATACCTTGGTTGGTCATTAGAGCCAGCCTCCCCAAAGGGGCATGGGCACTGAGGAGTGCTGCAAAGCCATGTCTGTCCTGCCCTTCTCCCAGCTTTCCCAAAGCTTGCCACAGTCAGACCCAGCTGCTGCTCAGAAAACCGTGAGTCAGGTCTCCATCCCACAGGAGACATCCCCCTCCAGCACGGTCCTGCCGCAGAGCTCACTCCCACACAGGCACAAGGCTGGCCCGGTTTCATATGGACGTGGTGCAGATACCCCTGCTCCAGGACCTGTTGGAAGCTGTTATTTTCAATGGTCTTTCTCAAAGGCTGGATTTTAGTGTTGCTAGCAGAGGGGAAAAGGGTGGGAGAGGGACCCTGCTGAGGCTCCCAGACTGTTAACGCTTGAGCAGAGTGATAGGGAGGTGTGGGAGAGATAATGGAAAGATACCTGCTCAGCAACTGATTATTTGTCAGTCCAAATAGTCTCCTGATCCAGTCACTTTGTGCTGATCCATCTGGTCCTGCTTGAACTGAGCTAGGTCAGGGAAAGAAACTATCACATACTGACTTCAGTGAAGGAGCTCTCAAGAAGCTCTGAGAAAAGCCGCTGTCCTTTTCTGCCTTTCCTACATAAAGAGGAGGGTGTGACTGGATTGCAGCCTGCTAGCCTGTAAAAAGCAAAGGGTGTGGAACAGCATTTCAGTCTGATGCTCCTGTATAACATGTCTTCCAATGCTTCAGGCCAACCAAGCCCTACAACATGAGGCCAAGCTTCCAAAAGTCACTTGATCTCAGTGTAGTCTTCAAGCAGTGATGAGCTTATTGCAGCCTGTGGTAAGAGGCGGTGAGTTTTCATCACTAATAAGAAATTGAGGTGTCTTTTGAACTGAAGTTCAGCAATCTATCTACATTCCACTGGTTGTTGGACTAGCCTTGCAGTATCAGTGTGCACAGAGCAGGCACACATAGAAGGACACAGGCACACATACGTGTAGGTCTCTGCAATTATACTCTGTTACTCACACACACTCAAACATAGGTGATAAAGGTAATCTAATGAAAGTGAGCGAGCTATAAGCAAATCTAAATACAAAATGCCTTGAAACTTTTTTGTGTGTAAAATCTCTCTGCTTTTTCTTTTGATTCAGAACAGAAATTACTATGCTTTTTCAACAGGAAATAAAGAATTACCAGCAGAAACTTACCTTTCTTGTGCCCTTCTCTAACGAAATTCACGATAGCGCTCAGGATTTTAAAACTTCACTGGATAATATGATGATACTCTCAAAAGGAGCAGAGATATCTTAAACTTGAAGTAGCCTCCAGCCTGCACAAGGCTATAAGCAATTGTCTGTTAAGTAAGTGCCTTGTACTGCACACTTTATGTTTATATTAATTTAAATGCTAAATCTAATCTCACCTGGAAAGTCAAATATTGGCTGATAGCTTACATCAGTCATCCTGTCAGATGCTGAGTATTTATGGTTATTACTGCAATTTCATGTATTGTAAAAGAGCAATGCTGTGCTTTCCTAGGGGTAAACATTGATGCAGCTCGATCTTTGTTGACCCAGACAGAAGAAGAGTGAAGATGAGGTCTGTAAAATAATTATAATAATAATACCTACAACAATAATTCTCTTGGCTGAAATGGGCACATAGAAGCTGAGCACTGAGCAGGCAGTGCAAAAGGCCTGTCAGCTTGTCAGGCTGCTTAGCGCCCACAGTTTGCCTTTCCTTTTCTCTTACCAGGATCATGCTTGTTAGTGACCAACCCCTTGGTGAAGCCCTTGCTGCGAGAAGCAGGTCCTCATACACAGCCAGGATGAGCCTCTCTGAGCTCAGCTCTCTGTACACCTCACTCATGATCCGGAGCAGAAAAAGACATAAAATTACTAAAAAAAAAAAAAAAAAAAAAAAAAGCAGAATTAGTTAATGTTGATTTTATTTCTAGCAAATAGCAATTGCTGACACCTAACTGAAAGGCTCTGAGTCACACCTTAGAAAATAAGTGTGCTCAGTGAAATGAGACAACTTCGTTTTCTGTCAGCAGCAGCTCCTGGCTATGATGGTGACATCTGAGGCAGGGCGATTAGGGTGGGATTGTGGTGCAAAGTGATCCACAAGCACATGGGCTGGGACAGACTTTCTGTAAAAAATATTTTCATTTTGCAGGTACTCCTGTCTAAGCAATTTGCAGAGAAAGCAATTTCTCAGGTAGCTCTGCTTTGAGGAAGATAAAGCAAACATGGACTACCCCTGAATCAAGAACACACATGAGAAAAAGGGAGATACACTCTTGGTACAGAAAAGTGTTAATCTCTGAGGAAGTGCTGCTAGTGCTGTGCTGCTGACATTGTCATGGTTACAGCTATCATTTCTTCTGGATGATTTTCTGTGCATGAACACCTCCCAGCACGGGGGCGAGCTGCTGGCAGCATTTCCTCTCTGATCCCCCGCTTCTCTCTGGCAGTTTCCCACGTGCCCTCAGCTCGGCCCCTTGAAGTTGAGGTAGCTGGCAAGCTGCTTCTGTTTGCTTTTACAAAACCCATAAGCCAGTGGCACCGTGGCAAGTCCAGCCCTTTGCATTGAACAGCTGGAGACACACCCTCATTGGTCCTGGCTGGATAAAGTCACCTGGAGGCACCAAGACGCTGTTAGCGGAGCTCCCAAATTCCGGGCTGTGAGCCTGTCTCTGGAGTTGAGAGGAGTCATAGCCACGGAGGTCCCCAAGCAGAGTAGCTGCCCTGGACTCCTGATAACCTGGTGAAAGTATTTATCCCTCCTCCAACCAACTTCTTCTACCATCTGTTTGGCCAATACTTGCAGGAGTACACTCACACACATGCACAGGCATACCTACATATATGACACATATGTTATCAAGCAGACATGAAATTTAACTGCCAACTCTGTTCTCAACAAAACCAGAAGAGTCCTTGAATAATCCTGTTCTGCTGTGTCCCCCCCGAAGGTCACATTTGCTCAGGGTTTGCTCAGTCTCTACAGCAATGAGGTGATCAAGGACAGAGAGCATAGAACTGTTTAAAAAGAAGGAGGGGCAGCCAAATGTCTTAGGCAGGAAAGGTGACTGCCTTAATATTAGTCTCCCAGATGGAGACCAGTATTAAGCAAAATGCTCCTGATCTCAATGGAGAGAGGTAGGAACAGCTGGTTGAGCCTCCTGTCGCTACCCCAACAATGGCAGTCAGGAAGACTCCTTGGTGACTGGAAAAAGGGAAATGTCATGCTCATCCTTGAGAAGGGCAGTGAAGGCCCAGGGAGCTGAAGGATGATCAACCACACCTCAAACCATGTAATGATTAAGGGACAAATTCTTCTGGAAGCCAGTATCAGGCATGTGAAGAACAAAAAGTGATTGAAAAGAGCCAGCATAGATTTACCAAGGGCAAATTGTTCCTGGTCAAGCTGATTGCTTTCTATTGCAAGATGATGGGATGCCTATTTCAGTGCATGAAGGCAAAGTGGTAGTGGTGGTTTACCTTTGCTCTAGCAAGTTTCAGCATGGTCTCATAATATCCTTGTAGCCAGACTGGGGAGATATGGACCAGGTGTGTGGACTCCAGAACTAGCTCAACCACTGTCATGGGCAAGATAAATGACAACCCATAGCAGATCTGGATGTTGGGCTTTATGTAAGAAACAGGGAGATTAGTGCTTTTACACACATCTGCCAGCTCCATTGAAGCAATTGACCGTTCCCTGATGAGGCAGTGGTGTGGCAACATGTTCTTGCCTCCCAGGTGTTGTACAGCAGGTGCATCCATCCCATGACAGGGTACTGTCATCAGCAGGAGGTACACCACATGTAAACGTGCATAATATTTATGAATTAATATAAACAACGGTACAACTGGATGTATTTTCACATGTAGCAGCTCTGTGGTCTTGAAGGCACCATTCAAAGAAAACATTTTCTTTTTAGATCTACAGTAGGCTCAGAACTGAATGATATTTGATTGTTTGTAAGCTTCATGACTGATAACCCTTCTGTGACTGTGTAGTAATGTATTCGTTGACTATTTTACAAATCCTTTGTTAGTCTTACTGGTGAGACAGTGAGGAAAGTAGCAGACATACTGAAGATCGTGTGATTACACCCAGATAGGGGTGTTTATGTGAATTCATTAGCAATTCATCTCTCCCAACATTTTGCAATATCTGTTGTAAAAATGTAAAGGGATACTCATAAATAAACACAAACATGCATACACCTAACATACATAGATCAGTATCTATAGGATTGGAATGGGGTGCTCAATTTTCTGTTTCCTGTAGAAGCTAAGATTAATAGAAGATTGTTATTAATAGTGGTCTTTGTTCCCCAGACATGTCCCTTCATAGGACCTTCCAGTATACTCGGTGACTTTTATCCAATCCTCAGTCAGTTGTTTTCCCATATTCTCTACGATAAACAGACAAACTTCACACTTCATTTTAAATCAGCAGCTGATATATTTATACCCAGATTTTGCCATCTTTTCCCTTCCTTTTCTTTAAAGTAAGGATATTAACCATACATAATTCATTAATTATAGGGTTCATTACTTAGGATCATGAATTTTATAGGGTTAATTCATAGAAAGAAAAGAACTTAACTGTTAAGTGTGGTTATTGGAGAGGTATTCTCTCATATGTACCTATGTATTTATCTTTCGGTATTTCTTCTGTTCTGGTTAAATCATAATATTGTACTATTCACTGTGCCTTTCAGACCTCAAACCTTTTCATACACAGACTTAACCCACAATCTTCTCAGCCTTTAACTACTGATATGCTATACTGCTAACTACTGATACTTAGAGTGCTGATAACATTTAATGAGTTTCCCCACTGCTTTAAACTTTTTACCTCCTTGATAGCCCTCCTAGATTCCTTCTGGTATTTACACATTTGCTAAAAGAACATTAGTGAAATCGACAGTTCTGTCCCTGGATCTGGCTGCTGCATTTCAAGTTGTTTTCTGTCAGTTGATCACCCTTTAAAACAAAAAGACCTACCAAGGCCACTAGGTTTTTATAGTTTGGCTTTAACTGTGACTGCTGAAACCTTTCCTCTTAAGATTACATCTATTAAATGTGAACTGTTTATTTCTGTTGAATTTTCCTCATAATCCAATTTTTAATATATCTTAGGGCATTTGTCAACTCATTCTGGTTTCTCATGACTGTTGGTAATTAAAGATGCTACCTCTTTATTTTTTGTTTTGCAGCTGTGCTTCTAGGTCTTTTACCTGTTTATTGCATTTTTGTGTGTGGTCTCTGCAGTGGGTCAGCATGTATAAGCTACCATCTCTCCAGGAGCTTTGACTTCCACCTCTCGAACATTTAACTCTTCTGCCTCTGTTTGCCATTCTTCTAAGCAAATCATTATGGTTTCATTTTTTTTCTGCATTCACCCCATACATGATGGATGTTATTTGCTCTCCCAGGGTAGAAGAGTTAAGATTTGTACATGATTTTCTCCCAAGGGTATGGTTTTTTAGCACAACTGGGAATTTTGATGTCTTGCCCTGTACAGGTTGGGTTTTCTTTTTAAGTGAGTAAATACTTTTACAATTGTTTATTTCTTATGTAACTGTTCTTCCATCTTTCAGGGAGCAGTGTTCAGAGGTTTCATCCTTAGCCTATTTTCTGGGGCCTTTGTCTGCTCCATGGTAAATACATTTGCTGGTTCAACGGTTGGGGTGTTCTGTTTTTTTGAGAGACCGTGAGACCTAATTGTGTGTTACGCAGTTTGATCACCTGTTATAAAACATTTGGTATGTTTGCAAAATATTAACCCCCATCCTTTCACATAGGATCTGGCATGGGTGCCAGCCAGGAGAAACAGCTGATCTGCAGGAAGATTGTCTACTATTTAGAGGGATCTTGACAGGCTGACACTAAATGTTCATAGCAAGTAAAAACATATCTCTGTGTTAGAACAACTCTATGCCTGAAGATTGCTCCCTCATCACATCAGGGACCCACATCAGGATGCACTGTCCTTAATACCCTGTATAAAAACAATGAAAAGAGTGCAGACAGTGGAGAGGGACACCTGGAAATGTCCTTTGTAGCTAAATGAAAATATGTTTGACAAAGCAACATTTTCCAGTCATCAAAGAAGTGAGAGGAAAAACATTCAGAAGGAAAGTGAATTTTAACCATATTTTGTTATGTGGGACAAGTGTAAGCAAGGTTGTGAAGGAAACTCCTTTGTGTCCATGAGAAAACAGTGTATCTCATCAGGATGCATTCGACAGTGAGGGAATCTAGTCTTAGTTTCTCAACCCTGAATGTTTGAAAAAACAACCAGGCAGAACAAGTTGGGTCCCAAACTCTGTCTGTGTCTGCTGCTGGGACCACACTGCAACTGAGATACTAGCACCTGCCACCCTGCCAAGAAATGTACTACTCCCCTCGGCCCAAGCTGCAGGGATAGAGAAATCGTGGCCAGGCAGAGACTGCAGTCATCCAGCTTTGTTGCTATGGTTTTATGTGTTGCTCTTGCAAAAAGCTGTAGACAATAAATAAGGGTGTTGCCTGCACATAGCATTTAAATGAAAAAGCAAACACTAATATTTCGCCATGTCTGATGTTTAGCTTCTAGTTACTTGAGGAAATTTTCTCCTCAGCCTCTTTGAGATCACTCTTCTAAAAGCAAGACAGAAAATAAACACCTTTCCAAACAATGACCACAGGGATGGCTTTTGCTGGGGACAGATAGCTATGAGGGACATGCTGTCCAACACACAGCAGGTAAAGGGCATCCCCATATCAGCCCTGGAGAACATGAGCTGCCGAGTGACCTCCATTCCCAGCATGGGTAGTGGGGATGGTGCCTGCATGCACCGCTGATAAACTGTGCAGCAGCTGGCGGCACTGTGCCCCTCCTGTCTGCTAACCCCTGGGTAAGACTAACAAGGGCTACCTGTTGTGGCCACATGCCCATTAGAACCTCTGGGTGTGCCTGTGCACAGGTTGATCACCTCTCAGGCGAAAGAAACCCTATCTTCACTGTGGCCTAGGCAGCCAAAGGGCTCCTGAAAGGCAGATGGGGCTGTCAGCTCCCAGCCTGACCTCTTCACACTGCCACAGCCTGAGGACAGCATCCTTCTGGCTGAGAAGGTAAGATGTGGCACGTCAAATGCAAGTAGGTGCGTCCCTCAGAAAAGAAAAGAAACCTGAAGTGGCCACACAGGTTCCCTCCTAAATATGGGGTGGATTTTCACCATACTTTCAGCTGTAAATAAAATATTCTTGCCTGCAGCTAAACAGCAGTGCACCCCCTGCGGTTATCTGAAAGCAAGGTCCTGCTCAAGGCTGATGTCATGAAAGGCAAAGTTAATGGTAGTAATGGACAGCAGCAGTTCTGTTCCTAACACATTAAGCTACATCTGTCCTTTGGATGGGAAGCTTCAGGTCAGTTGCTGGGTTGTAAGTAGGAGCCACAAAGCTTTGCAGGCACACACACACACACACACACACACACACACAAACTTCCTGCATGCACAACCACACATGGTACCACCCAGCATCACTGCCCTCTGCTCCTCAACCACACTCCCCGGGCCCTCATGGAGGAATACAGGCAGTAGCTCAGCCAGAGCAATTACAGATTGGAGAGATGGTAGTAGAGAGTTGGATGGGAAGTATAAACATCAGCCCAGGGCAGTGCACACAGGAAGGTACTAACTGTGCCCACCTGACCTCTGCTTCCATGGAGTATCTCTGAAGACCACAGGTCATTTGCCATCAGTGGTTTGAACTAGCACTAGTGGTGGTATGGAGGTACCACTGTCTCTTATGCCCCTACCTAGCTGAGGACCTGGGTACTCTGCTCTGACATTTATACACTTGACAGCTACACTCCTGGTCCTGGAAATAAAATTGCATTGTGATCCATCAGCCTCAAATGTGTATTTCTTTGTCCTGGTATTTTCTCTGATAAACACTATCTGTGTAGCTAAGACTGACTAAAGAAGTGTGTGCTGTGCACTTCAATTAACAGAGTAAGACCAGAATTCTGAGACATTAAGGGTAGTGACTGCTGTTCTTACATAGAAATGCTTGCCCTGGGCAGACACCCAGCCCAGCTTAAGACTTAGATAGCATCTATAACTGCACTTCAATTTGACTTCCAGTGATGTCCACAGCTGAACATGATGCAGATGAACATTTCTTCTTTCTCTGTGTGTTGACTCTTTAGGTGTCTGGGCTGGGGAAATGAAACAGCTCTTTACACGTTCTCTCTACATCCCCACAAGGCATCCAGAGACAGAGAAGACAGACCATAGGTGGTGCGAGAGGACCAAAGGTATATGCTTTGGCCTCACGCTGACCTGAAGTTTTATTTGGGATTGCACTGGGTAGCAGTTCACAGAAACTGCAGCACAGATGTGCCCGTGGTAGCAGGCACCATGCCACACATGCTCTCAGCGAAAAGCCATTTCTCACAATCACAGTCATTGGACCCTGTGGTCTCCTTGAGAGTGAGCTGCTAGTATCGAGTTGTTTCTGGGGAATGGAGACTGGGAGAGTCACCCTTCCTGAAACCACATTTTATTGCAAAGTCCTGTCCTCATAAAGCAGAGGGAAGGGAGTTACAGCAACAGGCCATGAATTTAGCAGGAGATTGTCGCACTGACAGAGGTCACTGATTGCAACAGCTCCTCTGGACAGGGGTGCCTCACAGCTTCTGAT